CTCTCTCTCTCTCTCTCTCTCTTTCGCCTTCGGTGGTTTCTTCGCTCGTTAGGTCGGTGCGCACGCAAGAATTCGCACTCGACCACTTTCTTCATTTTCAATCCATATATACCGGCTATATATACAGACGTATCTTTCGTCTATCTTTCGAATTCCTTCGTGTCTCCGACACTTCTCTCTGTCAGACTGTGTGCAACTTGCAATCCAATTTCCTTCTCTGTGCCGCGTTATGACACAATAAACTTTGATTATCGTTTCTGGAAACTCCAGCCAACAGGCAGGAGCACGTCATTATAACGCGTTCGGTCCCTCGTTAGCTCGCCAGACGAACCTTTTGCACGACGACGATGATCTACGCCGCGATTACTCTGGATGGAATTTTTCCATTAGCCGGAATACGAAGCGTGCAAGCCCGCCAGCCTGGAGAACAGAGAGGCAAAACGAGAGATTGAAACGAATTTCGCGTTCCCGAATGGCGAATGTGTTTTTTGCATTGCGCACCCTCCACGTAGCCCTCTTCAATCGAAATCACGGAGAGGGTAAATTAATTAAAATAACCGAGAAGGCTGTTCGGTGCGAATTTCGCTTCGATTCTTTACCTTTCTTCCTCCTCCTTCTCTCCGCCCACTTTTAGATCTCTCTTCCTTTTTTCGAGTTTTATTAAACGCGTGGATGAAATGGACACGCAACTGTGAGATCGTGCTTTGTTATCGGATGAAAGGGTCTGGAAGCTGCGTGTCACGCCGATAACAAAAGGAACACGGTATCGGCCTAAAATAGATAGACGCGTCCCTGTCGCGTCCCCGATTCTCTTTCACCTCCTCTTTCTCTCGATTCGACCCGACCCTCGACCATCCAAAGATCGCTAAGTATTCCGTTTAGTCGACCGACTCGAGTCGAGCGATTCGGGATGAATCGAGCGACTAGCTCCGTACGCGTCATCCCCCTACGCGTTTTACCTAGGCGTCGAACCGTGTATAACGATCGACCGAAACACAATGATCGAGGAAAGGGAGAAGCTTCGATTCCCCGTCGTTGACACCTGATACCGTGTAATTAGATGGGCTACCCATGGTACTTCAGGGGTTGGAAAGTTCAACGATCAGGGTGTAACAACGGCGCGATCATAAATACGGCTCTTAGTTTATATCCATATTTCTCACGTCGTCTCGTCTCCTAATAGACGTCTACGTCGGATCGCCATTCACATTTCTTCTTCCTTTTTCCCCCGAAAAAAACTCGAAAATCGTCGAAAATCCGCGATTTCTATTTCTCTTCTTTACCGAATTTTGCACTTTGAATTCCCGTCGAAACGTTGTTTAAATCCGACCATATTGCGCGAGAATCCGCAAAACGCTTCCACGGGGATCATCCATTTTTTTCACCTCCTCCCACTCTTTCCTCTTTCCAAACACGGTAGTCGGACGAACGAAAATTCTGCTGCTCGATGTGGTATTTCGAAGCGTGTAAATTCAGTCGAGTGAATTCTTTCATGAACCCCGGTAACGAGCCAGGCGTGCACCGGCGATCCCTGATACAATGACAACGCGGCCGGGGACGGTGTAATGCCACTGTACACACCGATACACGACGACGATCTATCGAGGGATGAAGAGGGTAATGAAGAGGTGTTGAACCGTATCCCATAAACCCCCATCGTCGCGAGAACCAAGGGTCTCTTTGCATAATAACTTACAGTTCGCTCATCAGTTACGGGTTTTAACCAATTACGAGGATATTAATGGAGGGGAGGGAGGGGGGGAGAGGGAGTTCGGCGGGGGTAGTCAGGCAGGATCGCGTGTCCCAAAACACAGGACACACGGGGGATGAGTCTCGTTTTACCTAGCTCTCTGTTATATCGTTCGTGCCAAGGGATTTTCATGCGTCCTGCTGCGTCGCGTTCTACCCCGGTCGGAAATATTTGTTTGCCTTCGTTTGATATTTCTACCTGATATTTCGTCTCTTGCCGTCACTCTGTATTACTTTCTCTCTGTCACAATCGCTCCGTATAAAGCGATTCGTGTTTTTGATAAGTTTACACGTGAACCTTGTGTATAAACTCTGTGTAAATCTCTACATCTTACATAGTACGTAGTTGTTTACGTTACTTTTTCTCCTCTCGGCAGCGATGAAAAATTACAGAATGACGAAGATTCCTCTTGACGGAAGCAGGAAACGCGAAATCTTTCGTGAATGCCGATTAATCTGGCGCGAGGAGCGCAGGTACCGAATTCTCAAACGATTTCACGGTTCTACGGATTTAACGCGGCGCGTTTTCCTTTTTAGAAGGACCCTGCCGAAAAACCGGAATCGCGGTAGAACGAGTCAGCCCTGTAGAAGGGAAGGGCAAACAAGCGGTTAGTTTTGTGGCATCCGACGATCGTCGACGGGGAAAGTTTTTCGTCAAACTGCCGGTAGCAACGACTTGTCGAACAGCGTGATGCCGACTCCAGGTGTTAATAATCCTCCCCTAATTGTCACACCTCTGGCCCAGGATAATTCCCATTAAACGTCGCTAAATACTTGTTTGTATACAACCCCCGCTGATCGACGAGAGACTCCTTTACACCTTTCTTGAAAGGTAACGAAGGACTTCCTGCCGTTTTTGTGAAGCACCATAGAATAGGCACGCAAAATCGGCGCTCGCGAATATTATTATACAACTCTGCTTCCCATTTATGAAAATCTAGCATTATCCAAATTTTCCTTTTTTCTCAAAGACAACCAAAGAGTTTTACTCCATTTAGAAAAAACAGAAGAATATTTATATCAAAGCTATTTCTTTCTTTCTAGCTGGTAAAAATTTGATACTGTTTAAAAATTTTTTTTTTTCCACTTCATCCTCAAAGAAACCAGAATATTTTTCCATTTAATTAAATGAAGAACAGAAAAATAGTTTTTCCAGCTATTCGAATTCACGTCGCGTCTAACTACGAGCGCAATTTCACGCAGTCAACCCGGAAACACACGAAATTCCTTGTTGACACGTACACGTCGAACAAGGCGTGCTACAGGGGCGGCACCGTAACGACCGCTGGCGTTTGATAAGGGATGGCAGACTCTGCTGGAATGGTGGTCGGATGAGTCCCGATTTAATGGATAGAGGACAGATTCAGCAGATACGTCAGAAGGTCGGTACGATATCTCGCGCGCAAATCAGAACAGAAGCACGTCGCTCTCTCTGTCTATCCTTCTGATAGGGACATGTCCTCCGACTCTCGATGTTTCCACCGCACTCTGTACATCGATCCGTCTCTTTTCTCACCTTTGACTAACTTTTCGCCTGCTTTCTCGCTCCCGTGCATCGATATCCGTCGTTTCCTACGCGAGCTCTCGCCTCTTTCCAAACTGAACGCGACAGATTGCATCGTGTCTAATGGCAGATGATGCTCCCCGTGCTGTCTTTTCCCTTCTTTCGCGATACACTTCTCTCTCGCTTACCGAATAACGCGTCCCTTTTCCTCTCGGCGACGACGAGAGATCGGATCAACGGTGGACGATGTGCTTAAGGGTCGGTTCTTCCTACGGGTAGGTAACAGATTGGAGATCGAACGAACGATGCGACTGACAGATTAGAACGCCCCTCTACCCTCGTTACGTACATTACACCGGAGTTAAGACTCCTTTTCTCTTTTTTCTTTTTTTTTTTTTGCTCGTCTCTAGGCCAATCGATGCTCTTAGCATCTGTATTACGACGGCGTTGCAAATTTTGTTGCATCTCTGGCAGTCTCTGTATGAAACTCTATACTACGTATTACGTATTAGGTATACGCTACACATACAAAAGATCTTTGCTGTTGTTTTGAGAGATGATGGCAGAGGATTGAAGGACTCGTTGTACGGATGCATGTACGAAGAAGGTGCGAAACACGAGACGATGAACGATTCATTGGTATCGATGATTTTATTGCATTGGATCGACTCATATTTACAGTAGGGGACACATACATATGCATTTTCATCTACTCTACCGATTATCTACATATATAACGTTTCTTTTATTTTCGCCGTTAATCATGCTTAATTAATTCGCCTCGTCGTTGATGGCGGCTTACCTAGCTCGTACGGTAGAAACGTGAAATACGAATCGATTAAGTTCTCCCTGGAGGAATCTGTTTCAATTGCGTTCGAATATATCAACCCTCCCCCCTCCCATCTCTTTAAAAAAAAAACAAGACGAACAGTAAGTAATGGTTAAGAAAGAATAAAAATAAACCAGTAGAGAAATT